TATCAAATAATTATTTTGTACACATGCCTCAGATAGCAAATCATAACAGACTAGATATATCAAAATTTAGCTTTTAATTAAAATTATTAAATGTGCCCTTTTAAGAGCCAGAGCTGCGCTGGAATGTAGTCATGTCCTAGGGGCCTGTTGGCCTGCCTATATAGCAAGTTTTAAAAGGCATACTCTGCTTAAGATAAGAAAAGAATGTAGCCTGTTAAGCATGAAATAGCTGTGTGTGTGTGTTTTTTTTTTCTTTCTGCTCTTAAAATGGTGTCACTAACTTGCAATCCCAAGATGTGTCACAGACTTCTTTTTCTGTTAAAAACCATCTAGCCATAGACAGGTAGACCTGGATTGGATGCCACCAAGTGCTAAATAAATCAGATTGTGAAAGCTTCCATAAGAACTGACCAGTCAACATAGCTCTCAACCCTGGACCTATTCCTCATGATCACTCATGGATTTTTCTCTATAAAACCTCTTGTCTATAAACTTTCAAGGAGTTCAGGTTTTGGAGCACTAGCTTCCTGTTCTTCTGGTTGGCAACATGCATAATAAAACTAGAGGCCTGGTGCATGGCTTCATCCAGGGCATGTCCAACCCAACTCACCCAGTCCCAATCGGCCGGACCCAAGCTAACCTACCAGTCAGAGTATCTGCCCCCTGGTGGTCAGTGTGCATCACAGCGAATGGCCGAATGGTCGAACTAATGGTTGGACACATCATATTAGGCTTTTATTATATAGGATAGCCACTCTTTCTCCAGGACAAAGCCCAGTGTCAGTTCTCATTGACCTACTGTGCACACAGGTGGCTACAGACATCCTTTAGACTCGCTTAATTTCACACCTTAAACTACCATAATGTTATATATGCATTATATGTCAATTTTTAAAGAGTCAAATTAAGAAGTCAGACTTTTTTATTTCTTAGACTTTATTTTAAGTACTGATTTTAAAAATATAGAATTTATCAACAAAGGTACTCATCACAATGTTATTTATTACTATCAATAACATAGTGACCATGAGAAAAGATTAGAAAATTATGGCACATGGCGCTCATGGGAAATAATGTAGGCATTTTAAATGTTCACTGTCCAATTATAATTAAGTAAAAATTAATGCTATAAATTTAAAGTAAAAAAATATATTAAAAGTAATATACATAGCATGTATAAAATTATGCATGGAAAACACATCAAAATATTAATAGAGGTTATCTTTAGTTAGTATGATTATAGTGACTTTTTTCCTTCATGTATTCTTAAAATTTCCAAATTGTCCATAATTCTATATCGGAGAGGGGAAGCTTTCCAAAAGGCAAACTTCTTCGGAAAAGTTTTAATTGCATAAAAAGTTTTTCCTGGTTCAATTGAAAACTAATCCTTTTACTATCAGTATTCAGGAAATATATCATTTTCTGGAAGGATACCGTGTTTCCCCGAAAATAAGACATCCTCCGAAAATAAAACCTAGTGCATGGAAAGACATCCCCTGAAAATAAGACCTAATGCAAATTTGGGAGAAAAAATTAATATAAAACACTGTCTTATTTTCGGGGAAACAGGGTACTTGGAGCAAAGAATATGGAGAATGTGAGCAAGACCAGTCAAAGATAAACTTGGCCTGCTTAGAAACATACACTAGTTCCCCATCACTACCAGGTAAGGAGCAGATTTCCCTGTCTGATATTCAAGGTTCTCCAAACAGAATATGTTCACTTCTCAGCTGAACCTCTTTTCTGGCTTTTTCTTGGACTATCAAAATCCTCCCCATCTCTGTTATTTAATTCACGTCCACCCTTGCAGACTTTCGTGAAGCTCTGATGACCCCAGCCTCTACTATTTCTCCTTCTTCTTAAGGTGTTGATATAGCACTTATGTTTATTGACCACCTTTTTTCTAGTATTAAGGCAATTCTAATTATTTTGTTTATTACTTATATGTAATATCTTCCCAGCTAGATTTTAAGTTCCTTGAAGTCAAGAATTTAGATGATCTGCAGAAGGTAGTCATTTGACAAATAAAAACATAGGGAGAGCAGTTCCAAAGCCAAGTTGGTATTAAATATAATTACACTCTTGGTAATGATTCTATATAATAAAGAGGTAATATGATAATATGTAAATTAACCATCACACCCTCACAAGATGGCTGTCTACAACCAGACCAGTGGGGGGGCGGGAGTGGGGGTTAGTGAGGGACAACCAAATGACTGAACAGCAAGCTGCATGCGGCAAACAAGTTGGCGGGGGGGCTAATGAGGGATGACCAAATGACTGAACAGCAGGCTATGTGGTTTGACCAGGCCATTGTGGGGGAGGGGGGGCATGAAGGGCAACTAGGCCAGCAGGGGGTTTGGGGGGCCACTAGACCAGCAGGGGGGCAATTAGGGGCAACCAGGCTAGTGGAGGGGGTGCAGTTGGGGAGTGACCAGGCTGGCAGAGGAGGGCAGTTGGGGGTGACCAGGTTGGCAAGGTGGGGGCAGTAAGGGATGACAGGCAGGTAGTGAGGTGAGCAATTAGGAGCCAGAGGTCCTGGATTATGAGAAGGATGTCCCAGATTAGAGAGGGTGCAGGCTGGGCTGAGGAGACCCCCCCCACTCTGTGCATGAATTTCATGCACCAGACCTCTAGTATATATAAAATAAAATATATTGCTTCCATTTTAAAAGATCCTGCTGACCTTCCACCACTAGAACATAAACCTTCCTTAAAAATAAATAGCAGCGACACTTATTTTTGCTTACTCATTCATACTAATTCTGCTGTCCCTCTTCGGATTAACCAGATTGGGCTACAAGATGTTTCACACCAAGGTTCAGGACACAGTCTAAAGCCATTTAAAGAACTAAAAGAAATGAACTCAAAGAAATCAAACTTAAGACTCATCACAAGACCCTACTTCTCTTACAGTCTTGTCTGAACAATTAATGTAAATTCATGACTCCTTTTTATGGCCTTCTTTAGGCAGTGGCCTTTAGTCTATCGATACCACCATTAAGTTAAAAAAGAATTCTCCAATACAAGTGGTTCAATACTCTAGAAACGATGAGCTAAGATGACTATGTTCCTCTCTGCCATTAAATACTATTCCAGCACTTAGAGATAATGAGCATTTGTGCTATAGCAACCTGCCTCCTGAGACATTAACAAGAGTTACATATCTTAAGAGAAAATACATAAATCATAAATGAAAGCAAGTCAAATGACCAAGCAAGGGACACAGGAAAACCTAGCCATCATTATTTTTGTGAAAGGAGCACACAAGGTCCATATAATTGTTGATTCTGCAGGGCAGGGCAAAAACAAGTCAATTCCACTATATAGAACTGCATTTTGCTACCACACATGTGTTTTGTAAGTCAATGCTTGTTCAGATTCCACCATTTATGATCCTGAATCTTCTCTATATTTCAGTTCCTTAATCTGTAAAATGGAATTATTATACCATCTATTGTACCATATCACAGAACTGTAATGAATTAAACATTATTAGTCTGGGTTTATCTGTCACCTTATAATGAGGTAACACACCACACAAAAACAGTCACACACCCTAAGAACTAGATAATTGTTCTTTCTGCAAATGTTTTACTAAAGTTTAAAAAGGAAAACGATACTCAGTTGCTGTTTTTTACCTTCCTGATTGATTTCTCCAACACTTGAGCATCCACCAAAATCACATCTTACCTTTTGACATATGCTCCCTAAGAAAACAGGTTTTTCCCACATAATTCCTATATCTTACTCTCATATAAAACAGGGGTGGGGAACATCCAGCCCATAGGCCGTATAAGATCTGAGAAATCATTTTTCTGGCCTTCCCAAGACAGTAGGCATGAGTTAATTAAATGTTTGACCAGATATAGCAAGCTAACTTTTAAATTGATAATTTTGTATGGCCAGAGATTGATCTTATAAATATCCAAATGGTCCTGGGCAGAAAAAAGGCTCCCCACCCCATATTAAAGAACAATAATTCCACATACAGGAAGTTTACAGGTTGTTGTTGCTATTGTTTGAGATGAATATTCTCCTATGAATATTAATACCATTTAATAGACCATACAGTATAGGTACACTTGGATTAACAACTTCTTAATACAGTGAAAGGTACATGGACTTTAGAGTCATAAAGATCTGTATTCAAATTCCTGTTCTATGACCTTGAGCACATAATTTAACTTTCCTGCTCCTCACTTTCCACATTTGGTTCTGGGTTGCTGTGATGATTTAATTATATATATAATTAAATATATATAATTACATAATATATAAATCTTATAATATACATTTCATATAGATAGATAGATAGATAGATATAGATAGATAGATAGATAGATAGATGCATAGGCTCTGAAAGTATTATTTCCTACTTTAAATTTTTTCCTCTTATGATGCCAGGACCAATCAAACCACCCTGAATACAGGACAACTTAGATACAGGGACAACTTAGATACAGCATCTTTCTCACCCATTTGGGGAGGTGGGGGGGGAAGCATGTGTTGTAAAATGAAGTGGATGATGGCATGACTTAGACATCCAATCGGGCAAGAAGTAGAGAAACAGGTCTTCACAATGGCCCTAGGCGACTCCACTGGCTTGTGTGAAAAAGACACCAACCTGACACACTTTGAAGTCTGCAGGGCAAAGGCGCGCGGAGGTTTGTACCAGGGTGTGGAGGAAGGATGGAATTTCAGAACAAGCCAGCCGGGCCTCCTGCTTCACCCCACCTGACCCTGCCCGCCCGGTCTTTTCAACCGGCGCCTAAAAACAGCAAATGACCTCCATCCGCATCGTCCCCCGTGAAGCCCAAACCTCTGGGTACCAGCGGTGCTGAATCATGAGCACCCACCGCGGCGGCGCCCTGCGCTGCGGCTCCCGCGGGGGACAGCGTCCCCAGAGCACTGACCTCCTGCCCGGGTGGGGGGACCCACACCTCCGGGTCCAGGGTCCGCGAAGGGGGCCGGGGAGCAGCGGAACCCCAGGTACTCACAGGGTGCGGGAAGCCCAGCGCAGATCCTCGCCTCCCCCGGGCGGGCGGTCCCTCCGCGGTCCCGGTTTGGCGGGCGGCCGCCCGGAGCTCGCCCCCGCCCGCCCACCGCACGAGGCAGCCTCGGCTCGGCTCGGGGACCGCGCTGGACCCGCAGCTGCTGGCGCGCCCGTCGCCACCGAAGGGGGAGGAGGCTGCCCACGGGCCAGACCATTCGCGGGCCGCGGCCGGGGGTGCGCGGCGGAGAGCGGAGCGGAGCGGGCAGCCGGGGCGTATCGGGGCGGCGACGGTGGGGAACAACCCGGGATGAGGCGAAGCCTCTGCACCCCCCCGGGACCCGCAGAGGAGCAGCTGCTTTTGCGGGGGGGCTGTGTACTGAAGGCAGCCCTCCGGCTCTCCCGGGCACACCCCTCCCGGGTTGCCGTGGTCCCCCTCGGGCTCCTCTAGAACCCTGCAAACAGAGGACCTAGCAACCCGGCGCCCGGGCGGTGCCCCTGGGCGGTGCCCTCCTGGGAGATGCGAACGATGCCTCCGCGGGCCCCGCGGCGCCAGCTCAGGGCGCGCATCTGCCCACAAAACAAGAGCCGGGCATCCTGAGTCATGGAAAAAGGGGCTCCTAGCGCCTTTGATTCTAACACTTCCTGGAGCAAAGAATCAAAGGCTATCCCGTCCCAGGCAGCTTGAAAGTTAGAAACTAAAATGCAGCGAGACTCCATCCTTTGTAGATAAAGCCTATCTACAGAGTAAATAAAGGGGCAGGTGTGACTCCCAGAGGTACTGCCCAGAATACACTGGGCCACGCTAGTTTGGAACATGGAGATTTAGGAAATCATTTTAGCATGTAGACCTATAAGAGATGATTAAATAGATTTTAACACAGTTGAGGTTCCTTGCTCTCCATTTTAGAATTCGTGTCTTGGGAATTGTGGATGGAATGATGTCCTGGTGGGAAATGAACTGGACAGGACTGGAGGGTAGTCCCCACGCAGTCATCCCTTGGGTTTTTGTGAGAGCGCTTTTGTGGTCCCTGCCCCAGGCTATCCATGTTCATTTCAGACTGCGATACAGATGGAAACAAATGTATATTTTTGTTACAGATTGGGGGGTGGGGGGGAGGGAAAAGACGGTTGACAACTACCTATACTGGTAAAATACAACTTAAGGGAGCAAAGAAAAAGACCCTTTAAGTGCCTCCCAAACGATACAAAATTTCATATTAAAAAAAGCCATTTTCTCTGGATAAAGGTTTTGTCCTCTTTTGAGTAAATTAGCATAATGGTAACATAAACTGAGCACTTACTGTACTAGTGCACCAAACACTGAACTGAGATTATTTCCGCTTTATTTATTCTTCTATAAACTCCTGTGAAATTGGTAATAGTGACACTATTTTTTATAGAGAGAAACTAGGTAAGGGAGTTTGCAGTTCTGGGTTTACTAGTACGTCTCAGATTGAGTGGCAGAGCAGTCATTGCCATCTGGAATTTCTGACTAGTTCCTTTCCACCAGAAAACCTCTGGGAAACATACAAAAAGCCTGATCATGTCCATGATTGGCACTTGGATGTTTATGCTCCCTTTGTGGAAACTAGGTTTCATGGTGCAGACAGGGATTCTGTATCTAAGGGTGAACATCAGCCTTAGGTCAGAAATAGGGATCAGAAGGAAGAGACCGGAGTTCACTCAGAACTAGCCTAGAAAGGTCAATGTCAAATATACACTGGTAGGGTCACATGAGTGTGAGGAGGAATTCCTCGTTACCTTTTTGTTAATCATTTTCACGATCATTTACACTAGATTGCCCTTCACACTTAAACTAATATTACCGCATTATATATTATACTTTGCACTGTTATTCTTCCAGTTCCAGGGTTTTTAAATGGACCTAATGTCATATGCCTTACCATGATTTACAGAAGTTACAGGCCTTAATAACTCTCATATCACTTAAGGGAAGCTTTTTGAGAAACATTAAATTGTTACCCTCCGTTGTGCCATTATTATTATGTTAACTTTTATTATAAATGTTTGCACTTCAGTACTAGGGCAACAGAAATCCCCAGGGTTCCAAGAGAGAGCAGAGCAATAAATTCCCAGGGAAGTCACGCAGCTGTAACTCTCTGCCAGGATGGCATCAGCCTCAGATATGTGTGATTCGTCCCTCTGTGCTCAGTAGTTTCATTTTCAAAGGAGACAACGAAGGAACAGAATTGGAATAGGTAGGCAAGATGCTTTTTGTAGTATTCTCTGTCTGCTGACAGAGGTGTAAGAAAAGAGGATGAAGTCTTGGTGGTCCATCTGAGACCAAGCTGAGATTTAGAACCTGATCAGTGATAAGTCCTGATGGACTGATGACATCTCCAGCCATCTCTGTGTGTAAGTTGACTTTACTAGAGGGCATGTGTCTGAATGAAGGACAGGGGAATTTTGCGCCAGTAGCCGTGAAAAACTGTCAAAAGCAATAAAAGGAATAGTGTGGTGCCTGCATGCTCTGCTCTCCCACAGAGACTTCCAATGGTTTTGAGCTCCCTGAGGATGGAAACTGGGGCCAGAAACGGATGAATCATTTTCACAAATGATTGTGGAATTTAGGGTTTAAGAAGTACTACTTTGGACACTGGTGACAAAGTACAGCACAGGGGCCCATTCTCTCACCGGGTCTGCCATAGTCTTCTGTGCAGCCTTGCCACTGAAATAGAAAGGCTCTGCGCAATGAAGGCATAGTCTCGTAATGGACACTGCTGACCAGCACAGGGTCAAAATAACTTCACTCAGAGCATGCAGCGATAGAGCATGAGTGAGACTGTTCCTGAGATCCTGAGGGCGCAGCTGAGGATTTCCTGTCATAATGAGAGAGCCTGGGCAGAGGAGATGATTGTTAAATTGAAGATGATTGTTAAACGTCATGTAAGCAGTGTTAAGAGTCTAATAAGGACAGCATCAAATTTATGTCTTAATTTTTAGAAAAATTCACATATTTAAAACACTAAGTCATTACATCCAAATGGTAATAGACTTTTCTATTTGTCTGTACTTTTTGTCTTGCATTTCCCAAGGATGTTTTTATAGTTCTGTTCAAATATGTCCTGCGCCTTTCTTGTAAATTTATACCAAGTCATTTTCTTATACTTGTCTTCCCAATGCAGTTTATTCTTTGCATTTCCTTTTCTAGTTGCTTTTGCCTGAATAGAGAGGAATTGGTTGTTTCTATAGGTTATTTTGTACTCACTCAACACACCAAATTCTCTTATTTGTTTTTTTCACAGGTGTCTCTTAGGCTTTCTAAAAAACAAACAAAAAGCCACGACATATCACCAGCAGCAGGAACCTACGGCGGGCTGGCATGGCCATGGCATACTCAGCCCCACATTGGGCATCTTATGTGCCACACCGGCTCAGCCAGGTTAGGTGAGCCCAAGTGGGAGTGGTGAAGGATTGAGAAAGACAGAGAACAGAATGAAAGCTGGGTCTTGGTGGGAATGTTGCCCTTTCTGAAGGAGACAGCACCACGGACTATAAGCCATGTCTTTATTTTATAGCCAGATTCCACAAGGCAAAGTAAGGGTGTAGTGAAGATATTTACAACATTTTTGTGAGTTTTGCACCTGATCTCTATCAGACCCACATCACTCAGACACATGGAGCCATGTGTTCAGACCATAGGTTCAAGCTTATAACTATAGCTGTTGGCTATCATTGTTCTGGGAGGGCTCTGCCCTCCACGCTGGGACTTGCATGTGGCCATGGGAGGACTGTGCCCTCTTATTAGTCTGAGGCTTGAACTTGCCCAAACACTGTGGCCGCTCTCCACAAGAACCATACTTCTTTTTCCAAAACAAGTGATTATAGTGATGCCTGTCTGATTCCTGATTTTAAGTGAAAGATTTAATTTTTGCCATTTAAGATAATATTCAGAGTGGGCGTTTCTCTATTTTTAATTTCAGAAAATCTTTTTTATTGAATTTATTGGAGTGTCACTGGTTTAAAAAATTACATAGGTTTCAGGTGTACAATTCTCTGATACATCATCTGTATATTGTATTGTGTGTTCACCACCCCAAATCAAGTCTCCTTCCATCACCATTTATCCTGCCTACACCCTCTTCTACCTTCCCTTACTCCCTTTTCTTTATATTGTAAGTAATTTCCTGCTGTTCCTATTTTGCTTCCAGTTTTCCTTGGCATGAATTGCTTGACCTTTATCTGATGTCTTTTTCCCCCTCCCCCACTGATAATGGTTAGGTTCTTTTCCCTTTAATTTTTAATGTAATCAATATGTAGAAAGACTTTCTGGAAAGAAACTGCCCTTTCATCCCTCTAATACAGCCTGTTTCATCATAGTGTATTACTCTTTTGATGCATTTCTCTATTGTATCCTCTAATACATTGTGTAAACATTTGGCATATATAGATATAGGTGAAATTGCCTGCATCTTTAATTGTTGTTGTTGTTGTTGTTGAATTCCTTCTTTGGCTTTGGTATTTGAGGTATTCTGGTTTCATAAAATTAACTCAAGAGCTTTCTATCTTTTTTCTAAGACCCACAGTAGTTTAAATAATATTGGAATTATCTATTCTTTAATGGTTAGATTAAAAATTCAACTGTGAATCCATCTGCCTGCTGCTTTTTCAATAGGAAATCATTTATCACTTCTCCACTATCACTGTAATAATTGGCCTATTCAAGTTTTCACTAATTCTGGGCCATTTGTGATAATGTACGTTTTGTTAGGGAAGTACTATTTATTTCTTCTAGGTTTTATTAGTTTATGTACACTTCAGAGTCATCTTTAGTATTTAATACTTAGGATTCTTTTCATCTTTTTCCTGCTTTCACAATGTTAATCTTATCTAGTTGTTATTTCATTGTCTTTTTATAATCAGGCTCACATGGTATTTATTTTTATTAGTCTTTTTAAAGAATCAGTCTTTGATTTTATTATTCTTTTCTGCTGGTTCATCTATTTTAATAATTTCAACTTTTATCAATATTAATAACCCCTTCAAAGTTTCTTTCGTTTTTGTTCTTACTGAATTATTATTTTTAATTAAGATAAACACTTAATTCCTTTATTTTTACCTTTCTGTTTTCACATTTTCCTGTGAGTTATTTTGCTGTTCCCCATTGTTTTAGTATAAAGGGTTTGTTTTTCCAGTGCTTTTAGGTATCTCCATATTTCTCCTT